AAAAAAAAAAAAAAAAAAGAACTATGTTTTATGATCTATGCTTGTGAATGCATCTACAGATTGAAATGAAAGCTTAAATTTGACTCTGTGATTCTGCCTCAATTCTTTGGAATGATTAACCAACAAATATTTACTAATGCTACAATGGGTACCATACATAATAAACAGTATACAAAATTAAATAAGACAAGCTGCATACCTATACTCTCTACAGAGAAGAGGATAAATAAGGCGTTTAAAGGAATCATCCAGTGAATTATTTAAGATCTGCATTAACTCTGGCCTTGCAAAGCCACGTGGTCTCCACCTGCAAAAAAAGAAAAGTCAGTATTAAAACTGATGTAACAATAATGAGACTGTGAAAGGACTCCTAGAAGAATGGGAGTGGAATAAAGAAGGGAAAGAAACCTTTACTGAAGCCAACATAACATAATCCATGAAGAGAGGCTGTGGTGTCTGGAAATTATTATTATGACATCTGGATTTTTCATTTTTCAAAAACCTAGTAACTATGATCAGACATAAAACCTAAGAGAAAAGAATTTCCTCTTCTGGAATGTGTCTACAAAGTGTTATTAATAATGGCCACAATCTTAAGGTATAAGAAAGTCATCAACAAATTACTATAGCACTGTTATAGACTCCTCTTCTCACATACATTAGAGCCTTCATCTCCAATGTAATGATATTTGAAGATGAGTCCTTTGGAAGATTATTAGGTTTAGTACCATTATGAGACACCACACTTCTCCCTCTCTACCATGTCAGAATAGAGGAAGAAGGCAGCTCTCTGCAAGGCAGAACAAGAACCCTCCCCAGGAACTAAATCCAGTAAGGTGGCAGTATCTGCAAGCCAGGATGAGAGCCTCCTTTCTTCCACTCAAATCCCTTCTACTCCCTACTGTCACCTTTACCCTAAGGAATGAGGGATATAAAGAAATAGAAAATGGCTCGGCGCCTATAGCTCAACCGGCTAAGGCGCCAGCCACGTACACCTAAGGTGGCGGGTTCGAATCCCCAGCCCGGACCCGCCAAACAACAATGACGGCTGCAACCAAAAAAAAAAAAAAAATAGCCGGGCGTTGTGGCGGGCGCCTGTGGTCCCAGCTACTTGGGAGGCAGAGGCAGGAGACTCGCTTGAGCCCAGGAGTTGGAGGTTGCTGTGAGCTGTAATGCCACGGCACTCTACCCAGGGGGACAGCTTGAGGCTCTGTCTCAAAAAAAAAAAAAAAAAAAAAAGAAATAGAAAATAAATTACACACACAAGTCCTATGTTAATGAGACAAGTATTTGAACAAACATACAGCACAACAAATGTAAAAACAGAAATATATAAAAGACAAAGACAGAGAGAGCTCAAAAGGAGGGGTAATAACAGTATAATCCACTGGTTAAAAGTAAGATCTGACCGAGATTGCCTTGGTTCAGAACATAGTTCTGCTCTACTATGTTCTCAGCAGATTTACTTAACCACAGCTGTGCTACTATTTCCCCCATCTATAAAATGGAAAAAAGAATGGTATCTACTTAAATCATTATGAGTTAATATATGTGACTTATAATGGTGCCTGACAGATGCTACTAATACTATTAATTTGGAGAATCCAATTTCAAGAAAGATATCCCATAAGAAACATCTGAAATGGGTTTTAAAAATGAATTGTGATTTACCAAGCAAGACAAAGCAATACTGGCACTCTGAGAAAAAAACCTATAGCATATGTATAAGCTCAGAGGCAGGATCAAATGTTGGGGGTGCAGAGGTGGTGGGGGACAGTGAGGCTAGAAAGTATTACAGTGGCTGGATCATAAAGGTTCTTATACACAATGCTATGGAGCTTGGCCAGGTAGAAGACAGAATATAGTCCTGTGTCCCAGAATAATATGCTAGAAAGATCATCTCAAAGGCAGGAAGACTCTAATGGAGTGATTTTTTTTTTTTTAATGTACACTTCTGATGTCTGCTAGTTTCATTCCCTTTAAGCCTCAACCAGTTTCCCTGTTGCTTGCAGGAAAAAGCCAGAAATCGTTTGTACCACCTGCCCATACCCTATGGAAGCCCCTATCCTCCATTGGCTTGTTCTGCCCTGCTCTGTTCTCCTCCCTGGAGCAGAGTGTTGTGGTTCTATTTTATTTTCGAGGATGCTTCAATTATACACATTCAGTCACACCCAATCCTAAAAGAACAGCTATATTCACTTTTCATATTACAGAAACTCCTTTTTGTTCCTTTCCCAGCAACAATTTCTGCCCCTTCACTAGCTTCCTGGGATCTATTTACAGCCCTAGCACTCTAAGTAACAGGAAATAGTATAGTGAATTCACAGACATTATTACTTACTGTATCTACAGACTTAAAGTAAATATAATGGGTTTGCCTGATAGAATATCATCTCAAAACATAATTCTTCCTCTAACTTAATAGTTAAATACCTGTTCATTAAACTAAGAAGGACCTCACTTAAACCAAATTCCACAAAACACAGACTATATAAGATGTACATAATAAAGCACAAAATTAAGGCAGGGGCCACAAACTCAAACACCTACAAAAATCAGGATGGTGCTATAAACAACTAACTTGTATGTTTTTGACAGAGACATGTTCACCCATTACACACAAAGAAATAATCTCCACTTTGCACAGAAATAAATTGTTTCTTATATGTGAGATAAAGATAGGCTCTCCTCGTGTAGCTTTCTTCTTACCACACTTAAAAGAGAACTAAATACAAGCAATAGATCCCCTTAAATCTACTATATGAAAAGAGGAGCACAATTTTAGAGTAGAAATGTACTTATCAAGTCAAAAACACAAAGATCTACAAGCTCAAAAAGACAAGTTAAGGTCACTCTACAATCCAACTCATGCACAGAGATCTATTGAGAGCATTCCTTCACTTATGTTTTTATTTAAAGAACGAATACAGAAACTCAGATTAGTGAGGTTTTCACAAGAGTAACAACTATTTCAGTATCTCACAAGCTTAGAAATCCTCTCATACTTTTCCTCTTAAAGTACAAGCATCATAAAATTCCATATGATGAATTGTTCAATTACTGAATTTGTACCTAAATATTATTTCTAATACTAATATATTAGCATTAAATTATTCCTTATTGGGCAGCACCTGTGGCTCGGTGAGTAGGGTGCCAGCCCCATATACTGAGGATGATGGGTTCAAACCCAGCCCAGGCCAAACTGCAACAAAAAAAATAGCCATGTGTCACAGCACGTGCCTGTAGTCCCAGCTACTCAGGAGGCTGAGGCAAGAGAATCACCTAAGCCCAAGAGCTGGAGGTTGCTGTGAGCTGTGATGCCACAGCACTGTACCGAGGATGACAAAGTAAAACTCTGTCTCTAAAATAATAATAATAATAATAATAATAAAATAAAATAAATTCTTCCTTGTTACTGCTAATTAACTTAGGTAATAAAATCTCCATTTCAATCATTCTTTAACCTAATCATACAGTGCTTTATATATTTTTTTAATTATTCCAATATTATTTTAAATTTCAAAATTAGTTATTTCATTTGCTTGAGACAAAATTTAAGTCATGTATATAAATACAGAGACAAACCTTAACAAAATCCTAAAACAATATATATATTTAAACCAAGTTTCTTATCTTTACAAAACAGTAAAAAACTAATTTCACCAAAGAAAGCACATAGAAAAATATAATACTTAAGGATTTGAGTGTTTTCTTCTCAAATATATAGAATTAACATTTAGGTTACTTAAGTGTTTATATTACTTTAAAATCCATATACAATGTAGCAAATATATTAATTATACCATTTTCTTTCACTTAATAGTTTATTCACTGTACTAGAAGCTCTGTGAAGGGTCATTATTTAATGACCTATACAGAATCACAAATTTTGAACACTTAATGAAAGGTACATAAAAATGCTAGGTCCTGACACAATGAACAGATATAAATAACCCAAAAGGTGGTGTATGTCACATAATGATGATCTTAACTGAGCACCATAGTTACCTTTTAGACAAGTGGGTCCCATACTCTCATTACAGAAAAGTCTCTACTGTTGAGGACACTCGGTCTCTGGAGTTGATTTAGAAGAAATGTACAGAACTGGGTATGATTTCTCACAAGTTTCCTTTTCTTTTTTTTGCTATCCCCCTGGGTAGAGTGCCGTGCCGTCGCATCACAGCTCACAGCAACCTCCAACTCCTGGGCTCAAGCGAGTCTCCTGCCTCAGCCTCCCAAGTAGCTGGTGCCCATCACAACGCCTGGCTATTTTTGGTTGCAGCCATCATTGTTGTTTGGTAGGCCCCGGCTGGATTCGAATCCACCATCTTTAGGTGTATATGGCTGGCACCTTAGCCACTTGAGCCACAGGCGCCGAGCCCAAGTTTCCTTTTCTAATCTGCTTGCAGTTTCTTTCCCTTTTTTAACTTCTGTTTTAAGCTTTGATGCAGCAGCTAACCTGGAAGAGTTGGGAGTCTTTCCACTTCTTTCATTTAAGGGTTCACAGTCAGCTGGAACGCCTCTGAATTTCAGACAGTTCTTTTTCTTTAGTGGCATATCACTAGGCAGATTTTTGTGAGGAGAGAGGCTGACTAGTGGTGTGTCTGTAGACATCAATTTTTCTAACTGCAAGTTGGTATCTTCTAGATTATTAGGACAGGACTGTGCTCCTCTTTCTGAAGCGGCAATTGGTAAGCTTCACTGACAGCACTGCTGTGGCATACACATCTTTAGCAGTGGTTATATCCACAAGCAGCACCTCATGCCTCTTCTGAGTACTTCAATTATCTCCTCAGGTTCCTTCTTCAGTTTTAATTCATCTAGTTTAGCTCTCAGTTTCACATCTTCACTTTCTGAAAGCTAAAGGCATCTTTCATTTGCAAAAAGTTACTTTAAGTTATCAAGTATTGGCTCGGCGCCAGTGGCTCAAGCGGCTAAGGCGCCAGCCACATACACCTAAGGTGGCGGGTTCGAATCCCCAGCCCGG